GTGTGATCAAACTGCAATGTGTCACCTCATACATCCAAACCAGACCTCATGCTGTACAGTCCAAGACCATCCCCTGTTCCTGCTGTCGACAAGACACCAGGGTTCCCCATCCCAGCAAGCCGGTGGAGGAGTGGGCGGGGCAGATCAATGCCAGCATTGTTATACAGCAGTTGACTGACACATAAGAACTGCAGGTGTGACAAGCTTTTGTTTATTTACACAATGATCTAATAGTGATAATAGTAAATACTTTGAAGGTTGTCATATGCTCAGTCTAAGTAAACTAAGGCTCAGTATTATTCGTTACACTGCTATACTGTGTAACGAATAATACTGAGGCTAAGTTTAGCTAGGCTGGTCATATGCTAAACACAATAATCTAATAGTGATAATAGTACATTCTATGAAGGTTGTCCTAAGCTGTATGTAGACATAGAATGTATACAGACATGTTTGTCATCCATCAATTAGGATTTATGATGAAAACGTGTTTAATGGATCTTCATGTTTTCTTAGTTTCTTGTGCTCCATTACGTGTGATTATTAAGTCTCTTGCAGTATAGTTATTGGTATATTTAAAATTCATATGTATACAGATATATGTTCATTTGAACTATACGAAATATTGAGGAGGGATGGCTATCAATATCGATAATAGAGATCGGTAATCGTAATAAATATCGATCGATTATCGATAAAAATATCGGAGACATAACTTAGAGCAAAACCACGGAAAATGTCTGAAAGAAATGAATATATCTCACATCACTAGTGAGTGGTGAGATGTCTTGTATGGATTAGTAACAAAACAGCGTCCTGAATATAATTTAGATGTAATTTGTCCTTCAATTGCACATTGTGTGAGAAAATTGAAAAAAAAATTCTAGCACAAAGGTTAACGTACGATATCACAATTTCATATCGATTATCGTTGATAATTTTCCCTATCGTTGATATTCCCGATTAACACATCAAGATCAATTGAATTAACTGGAGGCAGTTACAGAGAGACACCTGCAGCTGCCACAGGCGGATGCACAAGTGGACTGAGATCTAGGGTGGGTGTAATAGTCTCAGGACTAGCTATCACACAAAGACTTCCTATCCAAAGGCTCTTTATTATGTTTTACAGAATGATTAAGATGAAAAATGCAGCAGATAGGGTTCGGGTGATCCTGGTACAGTCATGGTGGTAAGGCTCATCATCAGCTCAGGGCCCTCGTCCCTTCTACGCGCAGCCCAGACAGTGAATGGGACTTCTCCAAGGAAACGCTGCCTAGTCGAACCCACCAAGAACGAGAGGTACGTATATTTATCATGCTTTTCCCGAATCTTGCCAATCACGTTGCTGTCAAAAGGGATAGAAAATTCAATGATATAACTAAATTCATTGGCTTTATTAAAAAGGACAAGATCAGGTTTGTTGGCAGGAATTCTTCTGAGGCTGTATATGAGCTTATTCAAAAGAAGTTTAAAGCGATCATTTTCCATGACGCCCTGGACATGTTCGGGGTCGTACCATGGATGGACCTCTGAGTCAATGCCACAGGCATGGCAAAGACAATAGTAGAAACAACGAGCCATGCCATCATGTCTTTTAAGATATGCTGTTTGTGCCAAGGTAGGGCATCCACTGACAATGTGTTGGACAGTCTCTGTAAATTCATGGCAGAGACATATTCATATTGATAATGTCTTGCGAGTGGGAAGGGACTGGTCTTTGGCAGCAAAAAGGAAGCCCTCTGTTTCACATTAAGACCAGCCGACTTCATCCAAGCGAGGACTCGGTTGGATTGCTATTCTGTTCCACACACTGCACATATACACTATGCAGTGGTTTCTCAGAAAGCTTCTCCACGAATGATCGACGCTGGGCAGGCTTGGTGAGGGTGTTCACCTGGTTTACTCCCATCGCTGTACCGTCCAGCAGTACATCACCATCAACAAAATCAACCTCAAATTTCAGATTCTGTCCAACGACCTTGGCACGCTTAAAAGAGCAGTGGAATTCCTTGCTTTCATCATGAGTCTTGACATGCATCGCCAGAGGATCATCCGAAAAATAGATATTTGCAAGGGTACACAATACAATTCTAACATGAAGAGTCTCCATTCTGGATGTCTTGTTTTGTCCAGTCAACTACTCCCAAGGAATAAGAAAGGACTGGCAGCAACATCATTGGTAGCTTTGATCTTGTTTCGAACATTCAGCTCTGAGCTCCAGATTTTCTTTAAGCGAGTTTTATATTCGGCTCGAAGTTTATCTTGGATTTGGGCTTTCTGGAACTTGTCTCAAACTTGCATTCCAAGACATCTTCCACAAGATGCTCAATAACTCCCCCCCTTGTACTTTAACCGATCATCCATGCTATCTCCTTTGGGTATCATCCATGTAAAGGAGATGAGTAAGCAGTGTTGGGGAGTCACTTCACAAGGCTGCTTCATAACGGACATGGTAGCATGCAACTTGACCTGTCACCTCTATATGACTAGGTGTTTAGATCTTAATGAACCCATTTATGTGTGTTTATTGCTCAGCAATATTCAGCCATATGGCGGCGGCCTGTAAAAAACCGAGTCTCTACAAGACAATCCAGTGATCAACAACATGAGCATCGATCTACGCAATTGAGACACGATGACATGTGTCAACCAAGGCATTCTGATATTGCTGGAATATTGCTAACAACGGCGTAAAGCCATACTCAGTCAGTCAGTCAACCAAGACAGCGAGCCTGATCACCTGTTTCTAACGACAAGTATGGGTTGCTGAAGACCAGTTCTAACCCGGGTCTTCACGGGTAACCCGTTTATGATAATAAACTTGGTCGCTATGTGTTTAAAGTCTGATATATCATACACGATTTGTCACACTCTGTGGAGTGCCATTTTTGTATTGGGAGGAAAAGGAAACAAGGGAACCCAAATTGACGTGAGCAGAACTAGAACCCAAAGGCACTAGTATTAAAGGATGTTTCAACCAAATGCAAATCATTTGTTTGTTGACATCCACTCCACCATGACACTGTCTAATCCCATAGGAGCAAAGTGAGCCTTCAATTATTCACAAGTGTGTGTGGCCATTAAGTACTTGCGTATCAGGGGCGATGGGGGTAGCGTAGTCACGTCGAAGACCCGGGTTCGATTCCCCACATGGGTGCAATGTGTGAAGCCCATTTCTGGTGTCCCCCGCCATGATGTTGCTGGAGTATTGCTAAAAGCGACGTAAAACCAAATTCAGTCAGTCAGTCAGTCCTTGCGGATCAGGATATATAGAGAAGAACATACCGTCTTCAGAATTTCTTACGTTGAGATTATTCAACTGAGATGCGTCTTCAGAATGATGTTGCCAAGAAACTACATCAGCGGAAATCTGACAAGTGAGACACTGTCGTAGAGTCTGTACACGACCACACACCCAGCGGAGGCCTGAATACTGTGATGAAGAGCTACGAGAATGGCAAACAAAACTGGAAGAAATGAGCAGTCAAACAGTTCAACCTTCTGATCCTGTGAGCATGACACTAAAGAGACTGTTCAAGAAATTGGCGTCGAAAGTAAGGAAAAGAGTCTGAAAAGGAGCCACAGAGGGTACTGTGACAAGTTAGTCCCTTTCACTTCAAATGAACTTTGTGAATGAATAGGATTGTTTTGGATTCTGTAAAACAATCCGAAAAACCATTTTTGAGTTTTGAAATAATTCAGCATATATCTTTATTAGGAATTGATGGTTCGCGTTTCTCTTTGTTACTCCTTATCGTATATATTTCAGCGAATGTGTGAGTGAGTATGGTTTTACGCCGCTTTTAGCAATAATCAAGCAATATCACGGCGGGGGAGACAAGAAATGGGCTTCACACATTGTACCCATGTGGGGAATCGAACCCGGCTCTTCGGCGTGACGAGCAAACGCATTAAACACTAAGCTACTGCCTCTCTACCTCTTCATATCTCTATTAAAGTCAGGTTTGGGTGTAACTGTCCCTTATCACGTATAGAATGTACTTTGGTGGATAACTATGCTTGGCGAAACTGAGAATTTTATGTCTGCTTCAGAACTAAGGCGAAATGACTCTCCTATCCTTCTGATGACACGTGCACATGTAGTCTTGCCTTTATCTTTTTAGCTCTTACTGGCCAGAAAACAGTTTACTGGACACGGCAGGTCCAAAACATGAGCAACGCATAGGGACCATTTTGAGTGTAAATAGAAATTGTAAAGTGTAACATGATACGATAACATGCATTGATCAGCCAAGATACCGAGCCCCACAACCCGGTCCCGTTACTCGCCTACTACGAAAATATGGGTTGCTGACGACCAATTCTAACGAAGTCAAAACAGTTAAACACTGTCACTTCCTGCCCAGGACGTCAAACGTCACATGCTAAGGGCAGTAATTAACCTTCTCACATAGACATATAAAAGAAAATACAGCAACAAGACAGTGGCTTTTCATCGGGACACTCGATATTTTTTCGTTGTTATCTTTTTTATTTCATTGTTAAATATACATTTTGATTCAAACTATACATTTGTGAACGCTGGAAGCGTATCTCCCCAAATACGCAGGTTTCGTTTCAATATTGTGCAATCCATTTTTAGTAGTACCCGGTTGCAGGCCCGGTCCGGCCCGATCCGACTTTTCTTGGCCCGAGTTTTATGCACTCCAAAACAGGATCTGTAATGGTGAACGTGTTCATGATTTATGATGTTTGCCTTGTATGGAGCAATAACCAGCAACAACGATGTGTCGCAATATCTAATTAAATGCACGCAAAATCGAAATAATTTCGAACAAATGGGTTTGAAAATAGATATACCCACATTTATCCTTTCATAAATCGTTCACTTCCTCAATTTCTTTTGAAACGGGTCTGTCGTACTCATAGTCACAAACAAACAAGTAGGAAGCTACGCATAAGCTCATGGCAATGAGCGTTATCTACCCGTGCCATGAATCACGCCTTGTCAAAGGGAAACCTACGTCACTGGGAGATGTGATTGCAGTGAAATGACTGTGTGACACGGACCCGTTTTAGGTCACCTGTTATTCTTACATCATATTAGTCTGTCGCAATGCCTTGGTCATATATACTTCCCTGCTCATAAACAGATCGCCAGGCTGCACCGATCAACACACAGGTGTCTCAATCATGGGCAAATTGAACGTCTTTGGAATAAGTTTAAACAATCCTCAAGGAGTGTATTTCTCAGGACAGGTTGTTGAAGGACATGTCACAGTAGAACTGAACGGGGAAATGAAAATGAGAGGTCAGTACTGAATAACAAATATTTCTTAACAATTTTGAAATATACACTATAAACAACATGTGATCACGTCATAGATTCTGTACATGTGTTTGCGGATTGATGACTCGTTGTACGATCTTATTGAAGCATATTTTTAACTGGCTGGGCCAATTTTACTGTTGACCACTCAGAGGCTGAAATTTAGGTAATGCAACAAAGAAATATGTGACGGATATCTGTCAGATTAGAATCACGTGTGGCTTGGGTAAGTCCATGAGTTGTCAAGCCTAGGGGAGAAAGACAGATCGTTTACTTCATCATCTATTATAGCGTAGCCTAGTGGTTAAAGCGTCCATTCGTGACCCGGGTTCGATTCCCCACATGGGTACAATGTTGGAAGCCCATTTCTGGTGTTCGCCGCAGTGATATTGCTGGAACATTGCTAAAAACGGCGTAAAACCACACCCCTGATCAAATAACAGTAAGTGATCTCATATACTCGAGGGATCATTTGGTGTTCGCTATGTCAACATCAACATTAAGTACATAATAGAAGAGGGTCATGTGGTCTGTATCTACAGGGCTTATTTTTGTCTATATATGTTGGCATGGCTTTCCATACACGTCACAATACAGCACAAGTGTATTGTGTTCACACTTGGGGTAAACTGTGGCCTATCATATTTCACCTTACAAAGTTCAGCGTTAGTGGTTAATCATTCAGGGGGACAAGCGTCTTGATAGACTGACCGAGAAGTCTTATCTCAGTAGGTCAGACTGATAACCTTGATAGGTTTGAAAGTAAACATTGTCATGGTATTATAATGATAGACGCGCTATCTTGTTGGCGCTCCCGGATTAGGATCAGTCCACAGAAGCATATATGCTTGTAAGATGTTAATGAATCGAGCGGTCAAACTCAGTGACCCACTGGACTGCGTGTCATCCTGACCCGACGGTGTTGACCGATGGTCATAACATCAATAACGGATTGTCTGTTCCTGATTCAATTATCATCAAATAACTGGTATATTGCTATTGAAAAAAAACAATGTATAAAATACAGGCAAAAAACCCAAAACACACACCACTCCCCAAAAACAACAAAAATAGAAAATAAAACCAACTGCCACCACAGCGAAAATGATCAGTTCCTCTTTTTCAGGCATAAGGCTTCAATTCTATGGTGGCGCTCATGTGAGATGGTCAGAGTCACACTCGACTGGATCAGGAAAGAACAGACGTACCAGAACAGTAGTCTACTCATCGCAGGAGAATTACTTCAACTATGAACTGGTTTTATTCGGGAAAGGTTCGAAAACCCTCCATCTATTGCACATGCCAAAGATTTCACACCTAATGGTGATCTCAACTAATGACAATACAATATTACGCATATACATGCACATGCATGGGCGTCAGCCAGAACAGACAATTCACCTGCAAGCGTATACGTAGTCATTGGTTTTACCTGTATATTTCAAACCGTGAAGATCCAGGTTAGAATTGATCTACAGTAACCCATGCTTGTCGTAAGAGGCGACTAACGGGATCGGCTGACTTGGTTGACACATGCCATCGTATCCTTATTGCGTAGATCGATCCTCATGCTGTTGATCACTGAATTGTCTTATTTATAGACCGCCACCGTATAGCTGGAAAAGTGCTGAGTGTGGCGCAAAACTATGCTCACTCACTCACGTATACTGTAACCATTATCGCGCATATTGATAAGCAGAATTAGGTAAAAACAGTAATCATCAGTATGTATTTAAGAAATGTTTACATCGAGAAACTAATTATTTAAATCACTTATCTGTGGCCTCGATGTGACCAAATATGGACAAAACTACAAAAATATTTTTTAAAAAAAGGATGTGGCAAAATGTGGTGCTACATGAATGTCAGATGCTACTACAATACAGATATACGTAGCAGTTAGGGTTTGGTCGGGGCGTATAAATACTGGGGTTGTCTTGGGTAATAATGCCGCTCTGTTTGTGCGCGCTTTGAGCATGCCCCTTTGTGGAGTGGAGTATTGCGCGGTATAAGTACTGTCATTATTATTATAAAGATGACGTATCAAGGATACAGATATAGAAGCTGTATGATATACTCTGCAGCAAAAAAACCCGTCAGTACGAATTCAAAATTAGATAGACACTGTAATCAAATCATTACAGAAATGGACATAATAAGCGGATCAAAAACTTTTTTTGTGTACGACATCTTGCCACATCAATGAATAACTCGGCATAATTCCAAGACATTACGTGAACGTTTGTATGGAGTGCACCCATCGATTGACGAAGGCCATTGGCACCTGGAACCACACTCTGAGAAAGGCCTGGCGCAATAAATCGGCTGGTATGACATATTCAGTCTCCTCCGAATTTCATCCCAAAGATGTTCAACTGGGTTTAAAATCAGGACTAAGGGCTGGCCACTGCATAATGTTGACACCGTTCTGCTGTAGGAAGTCCCGTGTAGCTCTGGCAGTATGGGCCCGGGCGTTAACATGCTGGAAAATGTTTTTCGGTGACGTGCGAAATGTGGTATGACGTGGGGTCTGAGAGCTTGGTCGATGTAGCGCACCGCTGTGATGCCGCCTCCTCTCCCTGGACCAAGGTTCTGGAACACCACAGGACCAACTCTCTGGTTCAGGCCTATTCCACCCCATACCATGATGCTTGCACCTTCCCATGAGTCTCTTTCCATAACACATTGGTCTGAGTAACGCTGGCCACGTCGTCGCCATATTCTTGTTCTGCCATCTGCAGATGATACGCAGTACCGACTCTCATCTGTGAACAGAACAGTTCTCCATTACCTGTATCGCCAGTTTTGGTGTTGTAGGGCAAACTGTAGACGTTCACGCCGATGACGAGGGGTGAGGTTATCCGTTTCTGCGAAGGGAAAATTCCAAACTGTCGTTCCTTTTGCTGCTTAGTATATATGCCATAACATAGATACTGAACCTTTATCATACGTCCCATTGATATATCTACGAAAGTCTTCTGATACGCACCTTTGACATAAATACTGACGCCATATGATATGGCCATTAATATAGATATTGAAACCTTATGAGACGTACCCTTGGTAAAGATACTGACACCCTATCATGCGTACCACTGATTAAATTACCCAAGGTTTCTTACACGTACTGTTGATAAAACTAAAATCATAATTAAAAAATAATATATTAAGCCTTCTGATAAGGAAAATTGACATAAATCTTTTTCAAGAATAACATTATGTATATATTCTTTTCAAGGATAACGATAAACAGCGTATAGTTAGAGAAAATACTTGAAAATATGTTTTGTTGTGTCCTTTGTGTGTAACCGCGGAGCCATGTAGAATTACAATCAGTCCAGTCCGAATGGAATTAAATATAAAAATAGTACTAAAACAACTGAAGCCCAAGCGCATTAGAAATAGGTACGGTTGTTCTGCTTGTTACAATATACAACAATACCGTTTGTCTGGACGCGGTTAAACGGAAGCCCAGTTTACATACACTTACATTTGGGAACGCTCATTTAAATAAATGCACGTGGCGAAGTAATAATGTATCTTTAATCCGAGATTGGTAACCACTATTATGATGTCATTTTATTGTTGTCACAGTCCATCCGAAGCCATCGAACATGCATTGTAACAAACGCCCCCAGCTATAGGCCGTAATTTAGAATGATAGAGATACTATATTAACTAGTACGACCAATGTCTTTGGGATTTTGCAGCGTCGGGACAAGGGGGAGATAACCCTTCTCTGCCGGCGGGACGTTATACATATCCCTTCCGATACCAACTGCCACTCGGACTCCCGACCTCGTTTGAGGGTTCCGTGGGAAGGGTAAGGTACTGGCTCAAAGGTACCATTGACAAGCCATGGAAGTTTGACCACACAACGAAAAGGGCTTTCACAGTGGTCAGTCTGTTGGACCTCAACACTGTACCTGGAGCTATGGTGAGTGAGTGAGTGAGTGAGTGAGTGAGTATGGAAGTTTGACCACACAACGAAAACGGCTTTCACAGTGGTCAGTCTGTTGGACCTCAACACTGTACCTGGAGCTATGGCGAGTGAGTGAGTGAGTGAGTGAGTGAGTGAGAAACTAAACTTAAGTTCTCCGTGGTATACATGAATTATTGCAATAGTGAAGATGTCATCAATTATTCACTACTACATACATTACAGATGTCCCCTCGTTGTGGGGTAATTTCATTAATGCTGTCGAGTTTAAAATTTTATTGAGTAAATGCCTATACTGCCAAATGTTGATTTAATTGTCCCTTAAGGCTACGACCAATTCATAACTAGGTTTGTCAACCCGTGAAGATCCGGGTTTGAATTGGTGTTCAGCAACCTACGCTTGTCGAAAGAGGCGACTAACCGGTTTGGGTGGTCAGGCTCGCTGACTTGGTTGAGACATGTCATCGTATCCCAGTTGCGTAGATCGATGCTCAGGATGTGTTTGTCAATATATTATTTGTCTTTTTGTACGTTATCGTGTCTTTCAGCAATATTTTGAATGTTTGTGATCTGTGATTGTAGGAAAGTTCTTCAGGTGCAAATGAAAAGAATCTGTGTTGCTTATGCTGTAAATCTGGACCAATCAGCTCCAGGTTTCAAATTGATCGACGTGGCTATGTTCCGGGAGAATCAATTCCTATCAAGGCAGAGGTCACCAACCACAGCAACAGGAAAATGACGAGATCATACGCTGAATTGTACATGGTCAGTAACAAGTGTGTGATGGAAACATCGTATCCCTGACAATACAGCTTTATGTTTTCCTTTAAATGTTCTTTTCATCGACATTACTACTGTATTTGGAATAAGGAAATTCAACTGTAAAAAGGTGTAAAAACTATATAATATTATGACAACGGTTAAAGGGGACTGCTTTAAAAGTTTTTTTTAACGGCATTGCTATTTTATTTTAAATATGGAAAATGAACGACTGTAAAAAGGTTTGAAACGTATATATGATGGTAATGTTTAAAGGGGGCTGTAGTCCACTGTCTAGATTGCCATAATTAGTACCATGTGTTTAACAGAGATATAGCCTGTAAGGACAATCAGGAACTCTCGGATTCCAATTGAATGAGGAATAATGGAACCAAAAGGTGACAGAGTTGATGTAAACGCATCGCTAAGAATAAAACGTACCCTTTTCGAAATTGTATAATTCACTTCAGGTATGAAAATTTCCAGAAGATGAATTTAAAGTCATATTTGGTGACTTTACACGTAACACTCTGAGCATTGTGATGCGTCGGCTTTGCATCAGGACACTTGATATACATGCATTGCTATAGGTACTAGATATCATGTAAATTTACTTCTTTCATGTGTTTTATTGGCTCATAATATTTTGACTTCACATCTATTTTGTAGGTTGTTCGGTATCATGCAAGAGGCAAGACGCGAACAAACTTTGAGAAAATAGGGGAAATATCGCATGGAGAAATCCTTCCTGGAGATTCTGATGTATGGAATGGTGACCTTCTAAGGGTACCGCCCGTACCGCCATCAGAGTTACAGGGTTGCAGAATAATCGAAATTAACTACTTTGTGCAGGTATGGCCATACTAAAATTCTGTGAAAAATGTTTAGTGTTAATTTGTACTAATGTCATAGTGTATTTCAATAAGTTAAGCATTGAGAATTAATGGTCAGGCCCGGAGAGGGTTTTATGCTGAGAAGGGTACACCGAATGTTGAATGCATTAAACAGACATAGAGATAGAATTTCGGTATACTTTGGACATATATTGAAACAATTAGATCATTAGGATATATGAAGGTTTAAGAAACTTATCGAAATGGTTAGCTCTATGGCACTATTAAAACAATCACAGTGTTGTGTTGTTATCAAAGGGTCGTCACTGCTTGTCACATGAACGAAATCCATCTCTGTATAGGCGCTCTGTGCATTTGGTAAGGTAAACTGTGCTACCACGTTGTTTTAACTGAATCAGATGTCTCAAGTGGGGTGGATAAGGCGGGGGTTTGGCAAAATGGGACACTGTGGCTTAACTGCATCACACGCTTCACATTTATACATCGAACAATTCTAAACTCCAGCTCAGTAGTGGCCGGAAATCAAAGATGGCCGCCAATATAGCGAAACGGCTGTCAGTCTATGCCTAAAACATCATCATTATATCGTCAGACTTTGTATTTTATTCAGAATTATTCGTAACAGTGCTGTACGTGATTTACTATCTAGCGTTTTGACCACCTCTCTCTCTCTCTCTCGCCCGTGTTGACCAAAATGCAAGACGGCCGTCAAATATATATTTTCAAAGAATTTTTAGAATTTTAGTAGACATTATCAATATTATTGTTCAATGTTATCCAATTTGGGATTAAATCGTATGTGATAATGAAATAATACCAACATTATTATACTCGGTCTTATGCAGTAATACCAACATTATTATACTCGGTCTTATGCAATATTTTCGGTCGAAGTTCTGACCAACGTTTCATTTGAAACCGCTTGTGTTGAAGCATTGTTGAACGCTGACGGCTCAATCTAAAAGCAATGTTCTTTAGTTAATAAGGTTTCACCTTCATTCCGCTTAATTTCTGTTCATCCTCCACGGTCACGTCAGCTGAATAAGGAGCAACTTTTGACATTTATTTTTACAAAATACCCGTGGGCTCTTCGGCAAATCAGATGACAGCTGTCTAAAATGTTCGACTTCATTGTTCGTTTCAGAGTTCTATAATCTGAACCTTGAATTTGTTATGGATATACCACTATGTCTCGAATCTGAGAAATATTTGGTGTGGTTACAGTTTTGTGTGAGTCCTGCCGGACCCGCTTTCAAGCTAGAGATACCACTCGGGGTGACCATCGGGTCCATACCACTCCGTGCCACGCTCCAGCAGTAATAATGGTTCGCGCCTCCTTCCCAGTCATCGCCTCGGCCATCCTTGATTAAACCGGGTTACCAGGAAGGGGCACATGCTAGCCCATTTCTGGCCCCTCCTGAAGAAATAATGCGTGAGTTTACTTTGCAGTCATCGCACCTGTCACTTATAAGTTCTTGTGTTAAAGTTAATAAAACTGTTACAGCAATATTTACTAGAATATTTTATGTGTCCGTCGATTCAGCCCATGCAAAACTGTAAAAGTTTGTGTTTTCACATTTTGTCATCAGAAAGCATTTTGAATTCTTCACATTATCAGTGTATCAGATGGTACACTGAAGCCCATGTAACTCCGACTGTCATATATGTACCGTGCTGCCATGTTTAACAATCATCAAAACACGTCATCTTAATGTTAACCTATTACAAGACTTTCCTAACAGATCAAGAACACCGTTTGAAATTGTGCATAATTATTACGTTGTGTTCCTTACATAAGACAAATCCTTTGTGATTGTGTTACCCTGAAAATTAACGTACCGTTTGCCTTTTAGCGCCTCCATCCTACGCAGAAAGTGTGTTTGGTACTGTGAACATTAAGGACGATGCCGACACCGATTTTACCAAAGGAGACATGAACTATGCTCCTGTGTACACGTACTACAACTGGGAACAAAGACCAACGCCTTCAGCGCCTATGTAACAGATGCATCTTGATCAAGCGCATCCGTAACGCCATGCAGCATTCAGCATAGGCTTCTTCGCAGAAGACACATCAGCCACCACATTCACTGCAGTAAATGAGTCTTCATCCATACCATCTGTTAGACCATGCAGAATTCAGCCATCATCTCGACTGCAAGAGATGGAAGTTCATCCATACCACCTTAGCAACATGCATTAATTCAGCCATCGCTGCCACTGCAAAAGATGAAAGTTCATCCATACCATCTGTTACGCTATAGAATAATTCAGCCATCACTTCGACTGCAACAGATGAAAGTTCACCCATACCACCGTAGCAACATGCATTAATTCAGCCTTCGCTGACACTACAACAGATGAAACGTCATCCAAAACATTTGTAACAACATGGAACAATTCACCCATCGCCTCCACTGCAACAGGTGCAACTTCATCCATACCAGTTGCATCAGCCATCACCTCTGCTGCAGTACCACCACGTCGCCTGACGATGTTCACAATATTTCATTTGTCTGGACAAGACTACATGTATGCTCTAACAGGACGCTATGATGCAGCTGTACTTTGCGGACAATTGTTTTAAAGGCACAATGTCACAATTTTTCGACAATATTTTGTTTTCAATTATCGATTTCAGGCGTAAGGGATAATAAGTCTTTTATTGTAACACTAGAAGGCTAAAGTGAGTGCATCAGGCGTAAGGGATAATAAGTTCAAGCCTAAAGGCAAGGATGGCAAAAAGAATGAAACGACTCGCAGCAACCAAAACGATAATTATAATTCACCCATCACCTGCACTATTATATATTGGGGCATATGCACTCACTTTAGCCTCTTATTGTTACAATAATAGACTTATTATCCCTTATGCCTGAGATCGATAATTGAAACTTCGAGGCGAACAGCTTCCAAACAGATACCACTTGCCATATATGGAACGCAAACAATTGCTCCGTACACCGAAAACAGTCCCACGCGGTGTTGTTGGTGTTTGCCGAACGGGCCTCAATCACAAGTTGCGTTATAGGATATTCGTGAAGAGTGTTCCAAGGGACATAACTCTATGGGGGTTCGCTTGAAATAAAGTTCGGTCGGTAGAGGATGCGAGAGTCGATTTAATGCAACGTTGCCTTAATTCATTGGAACTTTTTAATTTCATATTGCAATCTTAATACGTACTGTTTTGGGAATAAATTATAATCTTCGCCAGAGATATATACCCCTTAAATATTCTAAATTTCCAACTTTGGCAAATTTTAATTTACTAATGTCTTCTCAACATGCCTCAAATCTTCGCCTCAAAGCTCTTGTATAGTATACCTTGTAAAAATATATATTACTGTACGGGGACTGGTATATCATCCTTGTCCCTTGCTGTACTCGTACTTGTATTATGTATCACATTATTATTATAATCTCCTTTTTAAAACTCTTGTATAAAATTTATGTTTTAGTATATATGGAATGCTAGGTCTTCCATGTCTTGATGCATTTGTGTATGCGCTCGGTATAACTATGTATCATCGAAAGTGGCCTGATATATCTTCCATGCTGCAAATCTCCGACCTTCAAGCACTTGTTTATATACTGTGTAAAACTAATATCTCCATACCATGATGCATCTGCACTTTGTTAAACCCTTGGATTACTATATATTTTCCATGTCTTGATGTTCTTGTATAGGTATCATTGTAACAGGTAGCATTGGATATGGACTGTTATATCCTCTATGCCTTAAGACTTTGCCTTAAAAAGCTTGTATAATTACCTTGTAAAATTATGCATCATTGTTCGTGGGATGTTATATCTTCCATGCCTGGATACACCTGTATAAGTATTTTGCAAAATCTATTGTATCGTCACATAGCCTTGCTGTACTTGCATAAGTTCCCTTATGATGTATGGACCATGTTGTACATAGGGCTGATGGCCCACACCACAGTACCGAATAAAGAAATTTCAAATATGGTAGCTTCGCTAGGGGCTGGTAGTTAGGTTTAATGAGAGAAATGCAATATTGATTATTAGAGAAGTGTGGCGTGATAGTGTGCCTTTAAGCAGCGAACAGAATTTGGTGCAGTTGGGGAAGCGGATTTGGCTGCACCATCTCCCGATCATATTATGACAATGTTATCAAGCTGCATATAACGTTCGTATATCACTTTTTCGAAACCCCGACACTATGAATAATGGACACTGTATACCATGACAACGGAAGATAATGCTAGCTGTGTTAGAAGTCTAATACCAAACTGTGAGCATTCAAACATGTTTTATAACATGTTTTTTTCTGGTTCCTGGATAGATATCACACACAATAACCTCTCTTCAGGTATAACAGTATGCCGTTTTTGTCACGGAGGCCGCGTGTGGCCATTTGCTACCTTTGTACAGCTCTTGTTTTCTGCGCAGATCTGCTTCCGTTCAATTTTGTGTTGTTGGCTTAACTTCGCCATTGTCTTGTCAGCTACTAGCAGTACAAATCATTCTCAGTACATCTTGATGTACATTTTAGTATAATTCACGTTCTTTCTATACATATATCACACTTACTGTACATATTCTCATAAAGTTGCTGCAGCTAATTCTGTACGGCAAACATGCACACATTATATTGATCTGCCAGCCAGGTTGAAGTAGGCGACTACGAAGACAGGTTGTCTTCTCCGACGTCCGCACACGTTTGTAATAAGACGGGTTGAGTCGAGTCAACAGTGACTGTTAGGCCTGCTGCTATTTGTCTCCTGATGATCGCCGCTGAAGTCTCGACCTGAAGCTTGGATGTAGATTGTTTAATTTAGAGACAGCTTTCTGTTTTCTGTACTGCTGAAGGTATTGTTTATGCATGTTTGATGTACATTGTTTTATAGCAGTTGCTTCAAATCTTAGATTATACACAATATATATGGGTTCAATTTTCCACATGGCTACAATGTTTGAAGCCCATTTCCGGTGTCCCCCGCCGTGATATTGCTGGAATATTGCTACTAACAGCGTAAATGTAAACTCACTTACTCAATCACTCGATTATTTAATGTTTGTCTTAATAAACTGTGTTAACCAAAATCCATTTGTATTCCTTGTTATTGCAATACAGATTACTTCTATTTGTTCATCTGGGAAAACTGATATTCAGATGCTGGTGTATTGACAGCTTTGCACAGTGCAGTTTCAGCCCTATAATCAACGTCGGTTCTACTCGCGGGCAGACTGATGGTTTGTTTGACTATCCCAATCAACGTCACGTTACCCATCTTGTAAGTGCCGACTAACGGGATGGTCAGGCTCGCTGACGTGGTTGACACATGTCATCGTATCCCAATTACGTTGATCGTGCTCATGATGTTAATCACTGGATGTTCTGGTCCAGGGTCAATTATTTACAGACGGCCACCATGTTACTGGAATATTGCTGAGTGTGGCGTAAAACTAAACTCACTCACTCACTCACTGATGGTTTGTCATACGGAATCTGAAGTAAAGACGTTAATGTGATGCAATATATGACTCCGATTGTAGTGACCTAGTCAATGACCTAAGTGCATCATTTGTAATGAAGATCAAAGGCATCTACCAAAGAGAGATTTCAATTCACAATTATGAACAGTGAGAGGCATTATGCAAATACGATATTATTAAACATCTGAACTCCATTTCATTCACAATATCATGCGTGTTTTCCTATGTTTTGCAAATCCCAATATTTACTTACTAACATCTCACTTTGAAATGGACTGTGGGGTAGCCTAGTGGTTAAAGCGTTCGCTCGTCACGCCGAAGACCCGGGTATAACGTGTGAAGCCCATTTCTGGTGTCACCCGCCGTTATATTGCTGGAATATTGGTAAAAGCGGCGTAAATCCAAACTCACTCACTCATTCATTTTGAAAAGATGTAAATGTCCATCTACAGTCCAAATTTGTAAATATCTTCACAATAATCTCCTAATGGAGGAAAAAAAGATGAGGATGATGATGATGATGAGGTATCTGAAAGACTGACTGACTGAGTTTGGTTTTACGCCGCTTTTAGTAATATTCCAGCAACATCACGGCGGGGGACACCAGAAATGGGCTTCACATATTGTACCCATGTGGGGATTCGAACCCGGGTCTTCGGCGTGACGAGCCAACGCTTTAACCATTAGGCTACCCCACCGCCCCGTATCTGAAAGATTTACGTGTACATGCAAGTCCATACTGTCTTTTGTTTGTCAGTACAAGCCAGACTTGTAACTCCGCTGTGTCAGGCAAACCATGGAATACAATAGCTCGTTATAGACTAAGCTATGTGACCATCCAATCCACGAACACGCGTCTCACTCGCAGATGAGGGATCAGTGATCACTTGCACAACAAAGGCACGAGGTATAAGGCCATGACAAGCAATACTGTGAACATCGAACCAGAAATGACCCCACTGTGTTACGGCAGCATGTTAATAATTCCAACCTGGGCACAGCATTCACTAAAACCTTCAACAGCGAACCACACTAATGGGGTTTGACATACTAGCAGCCATGTTACCGAACTTTAAAACTAGCGCTGTGTATTGGCAAATAAATTGTATTGCAATATATTGCGATTCAGGTACCCGTATTGCGATACGTATTGAGATATATTGGGAACTTAAGTGTTTGACATTAAGTGACACTAATTGCACATGTCGATCCAGTTTTCTATATTATAAGTACCTACAAATATACGTTATGGTTCTGGTAACAGCAATCGCAAACTTAAGTTGCATAGTCAGGGATTCTATTTCCTTTTTATACATATTTTTAATGGTATGCCGTGTTGTCATTGAATGAAGAAGTAAAACATCTCTTGTGAAGGAAAGTCTGTATAGATTTTACTTTAAACCATAAAAATAAGCACAAAAACTTCTTATATGTTCTTTACCCAATATACCGGTTCTCAGAAAAACATATTGCAATACGTATCATTTGAAAAGCGTATTGCGGTGTACCGGTAATACCGTGCAACCCTACTTAAAACGCAGTGTGTGTGTTTTTTGTGTGAGGGTGTGTGTGTGTGCTTCGTTGGTTTTTTGTGTGTGTATTGAGACCGGTTTGTGCTTGAGTGGGTGGATGTATTCCAGTGATGCCCAGCCCTGAGTGATGCTTTCTAAACCTCATTCGAATGTAAGAATGTTCCAAGTGTAAAGCATTGTACATGCAGATAGTCAGTGAGGGACAGGGATCTTCTATATTCTGACCCAGGTAGTTGGAGAATCTTCTGGAGGCTTTTTCTTGTGTGCACAATGGGAGCTAACTCTGGCCACTCTCATATTACATCTCAAGAATACCAGCAATCTTATCCTGGATATATATCCGGCCTACTTTTGGATACTTGATCATTGTTGCAGTGACGTGAATATTACCACCTTTGTCTATGGGAGCTAACTCTTGCCTCTCTCATATTACATCTCAAGAATACCAGCAATCGTATCCTGGATATTCATGCTCGGCCTACTTTTGGATACTTGATCATTGTTGCAGTGACGTGAATATTACCATCTTTGTCTTTAAAGCTATTACCACTGCTTTTGCATAGTACTGCAGTTGAAATTGTACTACCAGTCTATTGCATTGTATTGTCACGGTAATATTTTATTAATATGTCCAAATATTCCCAACAAAGATCTGATTGTTTTTCAATACATCTGACTCAACCACCGACAATTGAAATCTTCATCTGATTGTTGTCATCGGACAATATACATATTTAAAATCATTGAGTAAATATCTTTCACAAGTTTGCCGTAGAAGGAATGAATAACTGTAAAGCAAATCAATACTAAACTATACTCAGCCTTACTCAGTATGTATTTACTTTTGCCAAATGTATGTATTATGGGCCTTGGGCCTAAATTACCGAATAAACCTGTCTGTCTGGTAATGCATTTGTAGTAATTAGTATGAATTTGTTTACTTAGTTAATTTTAGTACACAGTTGTAAATTACATCAAGCTGCTTTGTTGCTTTCACACTTATTGTTTTACGGGTTGATTTCCGGTTCACTATTTGCATTTGTTTCTACTTCGGAATCAACACGTACTAAAAATCAACACAACTCTGTAATCAGGAGTATTGTTTTGTACGATAGATAACCAGCGCTATACTCTTCATGCTTCCTTTTTCAGGGCATCAGCAATGGGTCCTCCTCCAAAATAATAGTCTACAACTTTGTCCATCCACGTCTCGGGAAGAACGCTATATAAGCGGGCACACAGCTGAAACGGACAATAACGAATGTTAGTGAGTGAGTTAGTTAGTTTTACGCCGCCTTAGCAATATTCCAGCAATATCACGACGGGGTACACCAGAAATGGGCTTCACACATAGTACCCATGTGATGAATTGAAGTCTTCGGCGTGACGAGCGAACGCTTTAACCACGAGGCTACCCCTCCGCCCTGTGGAGAATCTTAACCTAGTTAAGGAAGAACACTCAGTACGAAACTATGATTATTGGACAGTCGCTGGGATACAATAGGTAATTGTTGAAGGTTGGAGGAGGGGTACGCTGCATTGAGTTGCACGTGTCATATGTCCATGTGAATTTATAGTATGGAAGTATAAGTTTATCTGCCACTTCTTAAACTTGCAATTTGTGTTTGTCTGACATATTAACTGAAAACATTTGCCATTTCTCAACATGTTGCAGTCATATTCAAGACAATGGGGGCGGTGGGGTAGCCTAGTGGTTTAAGCGTCCGCTCGTCACTTCCAAAACCCTGGTTCAATAACTCACAATTGTACAATGTGTGAAGCCCTTTTCTGATGTACCCCGCTGTGTTTTTGCTGGAATATTAGTAAAAGCGGCGTAAATGTAAACTCATCAACTCACGCAAGATAATAAATGACAATGTATACGATCAATTATTTTTGTCTTAATGTATATTCTCTTCCCTTTCACACGTTTTGATCACCAAGGAGCCACGGAAGTGAAGCTACACTGTCTTTCCCAAGGTCAGATCGGAGTAAGATATTTTCAATCACATGTTCTCGTACGGATGAGGATTTTGTTATTATTACATTTGCGTATGTCCACTGTGCACTTGGCAATGTGGATTTTATCAGCAGATTTGGTAGATACAGCTGTTGTTTGTTTCTGCATTCTTTACGTTTGACTCCGCTGTGACCATTGGCCTTAGAGCGAGTTTGAGTGAGTGAGTTTAGTTTTACACCACTTTCAGCAATATTCCATATGGTGGCGGTCTCTAAATAATCGAGTCTGGACCAGACAATCCAGTGATTAACATATCATGAACATCCATCTATGCAAGTGGGATACGATGACATGTGTCAACCAGGTCAGCGAGTCTGAACAACCGATCCCGTTAGTCACCTCTTACTGAAGACCAATTCTAACACGGATCTTCACGGGTCTGTGGCCTTAGAGGCGTGCATTAATGATTAAACCGATTAGGTCTCTGGAGTCAATCTTTGATCTACATGATCATTAGTGCGATCATACGATCATAATCTAGCCTGAAGTACACTTCAGACATGACACCACATATTGTAGAAAATAATAGCAGTTGTGGGTTGTTGATTCTTATTGTATAATGTGTATGTGAGATATGTACTGGAAATACTTACACAATATGGGTCGTACAGGCCATTGCTACCATCAGTTAAATATCTATTTTGTGGCTGCTCGTTCAACAGTGCATCCTTGAAAGCGACCATAATGGGATGAAGAGTAGGGAAGCTGGTTGAGGAGGAGGCAATGGCTGCCTGGAATTGCTCGTCAAGGTAGTCCCTCCCGTAGGTTTGTCTCACATCCTCAGACGCCTCCTCCCACTGCTCGTCCAGGTCCTTCCTGATACGGGCTATCTGGAGTCCAGGGAGACACAATGAATTACACCAATCTGAATGGCGGTTTATATGACATACATGTGTCTACAGTCTCGGGATAGGTGGGCTCGTGGACGGGTTTAATCCCAAAAAAGGAGAAGACTAGTCACTTTATCCAATCTTGTCACGTTAACTTGACAGGCGCTCTGTCGTAGACAACTGGCTGTATACCAGAACATAGTGTAGTGCAACAGTATTAATGTGGCGAACACAGCGGATCATTGATGCTGAATCTTGATCAGAGTCTGGGGCGGTGGGGTAGCCTAATGGTTAAAGCGTTGGCTCGTCACGCCGAAGACCTGGGTTCGAATCCCCACATGGGTACAATGTGTGAAGCCCATTTCTGGTGTCCCCCGTCGTGATGTTGCTGGAATATTGCTAAAAGCGGCGAAAAACCAAACTCAGTCAGACAGTTGATCAGAGTCTACAGATTTTCAGTTGCACTAACATGTATCGAATATTACACAACGGTTTCCAATTTCTGCCTTCAAACCCAAGGCGCAACACAAGTATGAAAAGTCAAAGTTGCCATTTCCAGGAATATGTATGTAGAATGGATCGGTAATGAAAATGCTTGAAACGACGCAAACTTGTTTATTAAGGGGAACACATTCTTTTATGGATAGACAACTTCTTCGTGGCTACAGATGCAACGTTTCGGTGCAGATGCTAACACCGTTATCAAACAAGAGAGCGTTAACGGTGTTACCATCTACACCAAAACGTTGCATCTATTCCAAAAAGGAAGTTGTCTATATTTGAAAGATTGTTCCTCTTCACCATACCAGCTTCTAGATGCCACTTGAAGAAACATTTTATGCAAATATTTTGTTTGAACTATTTTACATACCCCGTCTTTGTTAAGACACCCTGTGGCCCCACCAAAATGACCTGGTTCCATGATAATGACCTTGACCCCGAACCTCTTCATTTCCAGTCTGAGAGTGTCTGAGAAATTTTCTCCTGCCCATTTGGTCATACTGTAGGCAGCGTTGGACGGCAAGGCGAACCTACCCTTGACGCTGGTTACATTCACTATGCGACCTGAAACCAATGGAACATAATACAACAGAAAATTAGAACATATCGTGACCAGTTAAAACAATCAGATTATTCTACATAGAGATTATTAGTCTGAATACACTTACATACAACTGAATCTGTGCAAAGTGCAGCTCGTACAATGTATGTCGTGATGTGATTCACACAACTATGCTACGGTCTATGTATGTCGTACCTGCAATATGAGAAGCGTTTCACCCTAACTAATAAGGACTGTCGTGGGGTACATCTTTCCCACTGGATAAGAAGGTTTCCGCCTGGTGAAGTCCTCCGCAACGGTTTGCAGAAGTCCAGCGCAAGTTTGGGAAGAGGTTGACACTTGAGAGTGCCAATTCTGGTGATTACGGATGTTGTTCAAAGAGTTTGAAGAAAGTTTATGGAACAACAGACCAATGCGCTGATGCATTTCCTTCATACAGAACGAGATTAGTGCACTTTCTTCAACACTAATATTGTCATGAAAGTGCATAAGCAGATTAGTATATTAGTTTAGGTCAACAGTAGAATTCATTTGGAAGCCTAAGAAAGAGAAGCCATATCCTTGTCGACTGACGGAGCTGTCTTTACCTTCTTCAGAAGATACGTTAGATGTATCCACTGGCTGGGAGAGGATAACTAGATTCACTAGGTTACTTATAGGTTAATCAGAGACACCCTTACAAGCCCTCGCAGAGTTTATTCATATAACTACCGTAGTGAGGGTGATTAAACGGCTTACACCACGAGGGCATACTTATTTAATACGCGTGTAATGTATAAGGCATGATGAAGATGTTTTTGAATTAGAGTGAGTGAGTGAGTGAGTTTAGTTTTACGCTGGCTGCACTCAGCAATATTCCAGCTACATGGCGGCGTTTTTAAATAGAAATAATTGCCCTAGGGCAGTTCATCAGTTATCCTAATAAAACACCTCCAAAAACAATGGACATAACTTTCCCTAGTGGTTTAATAGTTATTTAGAGTTTGCCCGTAGTATAGTTATTAATCACACAACAAAATCAATGCTTTGAAAAAGGACGTAGACTATCACAAGATGAACTGCTTTTAATTAGGAGTCGTTAGCCTTGCGGAAACCTTGGTCATGACCAGTTCATTCCCCAGAATGTTCCAAACCTTTTCTCAAGTATTGGCTATGTGACAGAATCGTGTCATGCATGTTTGCACAGTTTGTGTTAGTGGTGACAATAACAGGTCTTTCTGACCCTGGAACATCTTCGAGGCTCTTCCCCTCTTGGATCACGCAGCCCATTTCGTAACAGTGGCAGAGGAATGGGAAGCATTCACTGAAGTTGACACAATGGTCGCATGGCTAGCTGACTGTTGCATGTAGCCGTTTCAGTTTAACATACTTGATGGGTAGGTTGCCGACTTGTACATATTCGTCAGCAGAAAGTTCCTAAACCACACTGATGCCTGCAGAATCGCTGCCGCGTTGTGCATTTGGTTCAAATGCAGTTTGTAAGCATGAAAATAAATGCACTTCATGTATATTGACAAATGATGAGTTGGTTATTGTTTTACGCAGCATTCGGCAATATTCCAGTTATATGACCAGACAACCCAGTGATCAACATCGTGAGCATCGATCCACGCATTTGGGTTACGATGACATGTGTAGACAAATGAGGGTGTATTATTAATCCTTATAGTGATGGTCAGACGAGTCATATTGCAGCTACTGTATAACGTTGTACTGGTTTGTTTATATAAATACATTGGTGGTGTACCTCTTGCCTTTCGTATAAGAGGAAGGAACGCTTTTGACATCCTTAGAGGACCAAAATTATTGACGTTGTTAATGTGGCTGTACTGTTTCATGGTAGCAAGCTCTACATCGCCCAGAAAGTTTATTCCAGCGTTGTTGACGAGAGCCCACAATCCTGTAACCAGGAACATAATACTATCAGTAATGTAACAACACAGTATTGGTACAGAATACTGGTACAGTATTAGAGGCAGGTTATGTAAATACATCTTATTATAATGTCAATCTCGATGTTTGCAAATATATATATATCATATTTGTGTAAATATTGCGTTAATATTAATGTCGGAAACAGATAAAACTTTCAGAGTGAGTGTGTGTGTGAGTGGGTGAGTGAGTATGGTTTTACGTCGATTTTAGCAATATTTCAGCAATATCACGACGGGGGACACCAGAAATGGCCTTCACACATAGTGGGAGTCATAGACTGTGGTTAAATGTTAATGTTAAATGTTCTCAGCGCAGCATTAAAGATTTACGTAAATGAGCTCACTCTGGTTTCAAAGGGCAAACAGAAGCGGGACTTCTAGCATTTGTATTATTATCAACCGAGTCCATTAGAAAACTGTCAGCATATGGGTGCTTACATGTAGGTTTCGCTTAACCATTGTCTATACCAAATATTCTACACAGTTTCCTCTGTCCATCATAACCCATGGGCCATTCAGCGAACAGTTCCCTCTGAATTTAAGCCTCTTGGACAACAGAGGCCACCTCTGACCACAGGGACCAATTTGACAATTTTGCGTCAAACCAGTATAACATCAGTCCCTCTTGTACATCAATACAAGTGTGACTGACTTTGGATCCATACCAAGACCCGGGAGAAAACATCTATACAATTACATGATGTTATTCGGGAAAGGTCCGTTTCTGGAAAATGAAAAATATTAATAAACCAATGCTTGCTAACCTGTCATTTTGCATTCGTTCTCGACATATTTCAGACTGTTTGCGACACTTTCATCACTTGAGATGTCCACCTCCAATACATGCATTCGTTTGGACCCCGCCTTTCTCAGCTGCTTTGCACCTTCTCCCTCTCCTCGCAGACATGTGGCTATCACACTGAACCCGATGTCATCTAACGTTATAGCCAAGCTGTGACCAATACCTGTAAATAATTGCAGGCTTTTGTGTGGTGACAGATACATAACACGTGTCTGCAAAATTAATACCTTTCAAAACTGGTATTTAGGGACTGTTCATAATTTATGGCTAGGGGGTGATGATGATTTTAAGGGGGGTCACCCAGTTTGTTATAGGGAGGCAGGAGGTATCAACACTTAAGTGTGATACATCATAAGTTTGGATTTTCTGAGAATGCTCTTTTGCATGGGAACTGCATCATTAACACTTCCGTGTGATACATCATGCGTTTTGGGTTTTCTGAGAACGCTCTTTTGCATGGGAACTGTATCATCAACACTTCAGTGTGATACATCATGCGTGTGGGTTTTCTGAGAATGCTCTTTTGCATGACAATTGCATCATCAACACTTCCGTGTGATACATCATAAGTTTGGGTTTTCAGAGAATGCTCTTTTGCATGGGAACTGTATCATCAACACTTTAGTGTGATACATCATGCGTGTGGGTTTTCTGAGAATGCTCTTTTGCATGGGAACTGCATCATCAACACTTCAGTGTGATACATCATGCGTTTGGGTTTTCTGAGAATGCTCTTTTGCATTGGAACTGTATCATCAACACTTTAGTGTGATACATCATGCGTGTGGGTTTTCTGAGAATGCTCTATTGCATGGGAACTGTGTCATCAACACTTGTTTCGACCGAGGGGAATCTGTGTTTGAAGGAAGTCCCCAGCGCCATAAGCTTGTGTTAAGAGGCGACAAAATGGATAAGACAGACAGGCTGGCATCATATACCAAATGCCAGGATCCATGGTTAGGATGGCAATAAGTGTATTGTCTGGTCCAATTTTCACGGACCTGGAATACGGTGTTTATCAACACACTTCAAATTAACCTGTGTCACAGCCGGTGATGAGAACATATTTGTCTGTAGGCACTGCATATTTGGCAGTTCTCCTTCCGATGACCCGGTACGTGTAGTAGACCAGGGAAAAGAATACCAGAGACATCAGCATCTGTAGGTTTAGGGCTGAGTACAGCAGCAACAGGAAGGAGAGGAAGAAAGTCACCTCAAATGCCTGTGGTCCCAGTGTCTGGAGCAGGTCCATCTGCAGTGCACAAGGGTATATTGTTAGAGTGTCGCGGAGTATCACATGTCAGGTATTGACTTGTTACATTGGCGGGAACATTGTTTATTTGTTTATTGTTTTACGCCGCACTCAGCAATATTCCAGTCACGGCGGGGAGATAACTCTTCTCTGCCGGCAGGACGTTATACATATCCCTTCCGATATCCACTACCAGCGTTTAAGGGTTCCGTGGGAAGGATAAGGTATTGGTTCAAAGGTACCACTGACGTTTGATCGCACAACGAGTGAGTGAGTGAGTGAGTGAGTTTCCTTTTGGAGAATGATGGATGCTTCAGGTAGAGCAGGACAAGCTTACCCTTCTTGCAAGCACCTGGTGTCATTACTACTTTCCCGTGATCCATTCATATCATTGCCACTGCTATTTTGTCCTTACAGCTGTTTGTTGTTGTATTCCCATCACGAAAACAAGGATTTTTTAAGACGATAGTCAAGACTGGGTATTCTTTTCTACTGACTTTCTATATTTTGAAACAATATATACATACTTTTATAGAATATTGTGTGACTTTCAGTACATAGACATTGTTGTCATACTTTAGTAGTGTTATGATCACGGTGTCTGTTGTTAGTTATTACTTATGTGTGCGACGAAGTGACAAAATATTTTCCAGTTTTCATCACCAGCTTTGAATAGCGCTGTGGTAATGAAAACTGGGAAATAATATAGGAACGCTTGAATATTCCGGTGATCCTTTATTGTTTTCTCTCAGTATATTTTTGCGAATTTTGTTATCGTGGATATTTTCAGATTAAATTAAAGAGTAGATACGTGCAGGTATTTAGACACAACAGTGAGTATGTTACACACTATAGATTACAAAACTTCATATCATTATAAAATGTGTTAACATGAACTGGATTTTAAGTGAGTGAGTGAGTTTGGTTTTACGCCGCTTTTAGCAATATTCCAGCAATATCACGGCGGGAGACACCAGAAATGGATTTCACACATTGTAACCATGTGGGGAATCGAACCTGGGTCTTCGGTGTGACGAGCGAACGCTTTAACCACTGGGCTACCCCACTGCTCCTGGACATCTTAACGTCTGTATAAATACAACAAAATCATATAACTCGCAAGTATAAATAAACTAACAAATTCGTGTTATATCTGTTTTAAAAATATAGTTTACTCTTTTGAAGTATTGATTTAGTTGACAGTATTTTTACCAAGGGTTCAGACCCTCACACCTTAACAAATATTTGTAAAGAATATATGCCCCAAACTCCTTCAACGGCGTTATTTCATATCAACATGAGAACTAAATGCATGAAAGGAAAACATAATTCCACACGATACAAACAAGTCACATTGACCTCCCACGCTGTCCTTGACGATCAGGTTAGCGCGCCACATGAATGAGGTTTTTACGTTTGGCAAATCGCCTTTCGTCGACTCCCGGGTAGAGCTGATCATGGAACAAAATACAAGTCATCGGCTGAAGTAAAGTACATAAAGGAAGTCTTACTTTGTTAGGTCTAACTAAGAAAATCACGCTTCCGAGAATGCTAGTGCATACAGGTGTTGTCAGGATACAGGTCAAGGATACAGCTGTTATCACTTTGAGGCTCTACATCTGGGGATCACTCCAAAATATTAACAATTTCAATAATAATTTACATATTATAGGACATACAATCGCACAAAAATCTATAAAATCCACGTGGTGGTATTTGTAATGGTTATTGTAATTCGGATTCGTTTTAATTGTGTTAACGAAGCATGGTCTGACTTAAGTGAGACGAGGAGACAGTCTAGATGGAACGCACGTGTTTACTTTCCAGTGAGATTGAACCTCGACCCCTGTATCTCGCGTCACGCTCATGTGGAGATATACCCGATCGAAACAACGTAAGTAGACGTCAAATTGCACCGTGTTAATTTAATCTGGTGTTTACATAACGTACCAGCTAATGTTAAACATTTACCTTTGTCAAGTGTACGTGTGGAGTGCAAATAATGTTGTACATGTGTTTCTGTGTACGTGCTATCAACAACGTTAATCTCAATACTTTCACTGTACAGCGATCTTCATCATACTTATTACTTTACTGAACAGACACTGAAATACACGCACTGTATGTCTAGTTAAAATGACTATATGTGTCGGTGTCAAGGATTAAACAGCGTGGTAGAGTTAAATCGCCCGTTAAATCGCCCGTTTGTCACGCCGAAGATCCGGGTTCGATTCCCCATGTGGATACAACATGTGGCGCTCATTTCGGCATTCCCCCCGCGTCGGTACCGATGGAATATTGCGAAAAGATGAAACTCACTCACTCATGAATTAGACATGTTGTTTCATATTTGTGGAATACATTACCATTTAGAGATGCACATTGTACTTCTTGGTTACGATAAATTACCACAGAGCAGATCTATCAGTTGAGACGTGTGTGTCTTACATTCGCTGACACTGGCAGTATACACCATTTGCTACACTTCTATAAGTCAAACATTACTCGCAAAATCAGTATCTCTATTGTACCCGTGAAGATCCGGGTTAGAATGGTCTTCAGCAACACATGCTTGTCGTAAGAGGCGACTAACGGGACCGGGTGGTCAGACTGGCTGACTTAGTTGACACATGTCATCGTATCACAATTGCGTAGATCGATGCTCATGTTGTTGATCACTGGATTGTCTGGTCCAGACTCGATTATGTACAGACAGCCGCCATACAGCTGGAATATTGGTGAGTGCAGCGTAAAACTAAACTCACTCACTTACGCATTCAGTCAATTATGTGCAACAGCAACAGCTCATGTATGTGTGCGTTGATCACTGGATTGTCTGGTCCAGACTCGATTATTTACAGACCGCCGCCATATAGCTGCAATATTGCTAAGTGCGGCGTAAACTTAAACTCACTCACTCACTCACAGTGCACAATGTCTGTTTCAGAATGGGGCTGCTTGAAACGCTGGGACTCCAGTTCTTCGAGATCACATTCTGTGGATGTATGGCGCTAATGGTCTACGCCTGTCTCCAGAAAGCCGTGCTCGTCAGTTGTTGTGTCGGCCTCATCTTATTTTACACCTTCCGGGTGATACAGGAACGAGGCACGGAGCAGATAACGCCGGATGGCCGATACGTCCTTATAACGGGGTGCGACACAGGTATTGTATATTCCCCCGGAACCTTTCCATTGAAGGAAAGTTTGACCTTTCATTAATACAAATACCTCATTGGCAATGCTTTTCCCTTTATTGGTATGACAATGAATAAATGTGAATATAATAAAAGTGAATACGTCAGATGAGAATGAAACAGACTCTCTTGGGACAAAATGTGTTACGACAATTTCGTCCTTTATTAACTGCAGCACGTGTTTACATATCGACTATACGTCTTGCGATTTCGCTTTACATATGCTTACTATATTAAAGAGGTATGTGTAAAACATGCAATAACATCTGAAGCGATGCATGAAGTGGTTACAACGCTGGCTCGTCACGCCGATGGTCCGGGTCCGATGTTCCACATGAATGCACAACGCGGTGTCCATTCTTTGTTATGATTTCTTTTGAATGGTACATCTATTCGATATCATTTGACGACCAGTAATTAAATCCAAAATAAAAATAAAAGGATTTATTACTAATCAATATATTGACTTAATTTGAACTTACTCATAAATATGAACTTGTACTTACATTTACATGTACCGTATTCTTCGATTTTGTAGCTGTTTCACTTTACAGAAGTTTGAGTCAAGCACATTTAAGTTTATTGAGGTTTAGACCTTTGTTGTTCTGTTTTACTTGTACTTAGGTATCGGTAAAGTTCTTGCCAAGCGCCTGGTCGCACAAGGCTTCAACGTACTGGCCACTTGTTTGGATGTTAATAGTAGCGGAGCATCGGAACTGAAGGAAGCTGGTGGTGAAACAATGCACGTGCTTCCTCTTGACGTCACTTCCGATGATAGCGTCGAAGCCTGCGTGAGAACAGTTCAACAGAACACTGGCGATAGAGGTAATGAACATATTCATACATGCAAGTCGACTAGTTCATAATAATCTATAACATGTGTGCCTGCACTGTCCACCGGACTGTTAATTGATATGTTGTCAAAAAACAGAAGATTTAAAACTTTTCAAAATTTAAAAAAATACACTAGAAAAATGTATTCACAAAATACACTATCGACTACAGGTATTTTAGAAATGATTTACCGTAGCCCATGCTTGTCGTAATAGGCGACTAACGGGATCGGGTGGTCAGGCTCCCCTGACTTGGTTTACACATGTCATCGTATCCCGATTGCGTAGATCGATGCTCATGCTGTTGATCACTTGATCACTTACGCCGCCTTTAGGAATATTCTAGCAATATCACTGCGAGGGACACCAGATATGGGCTTCACACATTGTACCCATGTGGGTAATGAATAGGTGAAGGATATATAGGCATAATAACATTTTGTTGAACATCACAACAAATAACATAAATGAGGTGTTTCGCCTCTCGTTATTCTACCGTGTTCACTACAGCGCTTGTAGTGCAGGCGTAGTCGCCATGCTGGGGAATTCATTACACATGTCATAGCAGAATAAGGACACAGAGCGGCAAGTATCCTAAGTCAGTTCCTATTGCAAATTCTCATTTCATGCACATATAAACCTAATAAATAGAAATAATACCCGTTTTCAGGTCTTTGGGCCATCGTCAACAACGCAGGTGTGATAGGCATGGGGGATGTAGAGCTTCTGACAATGGACATGTATAAGCGACTAGCTGATGTGAATCTCTTTGGAATGATCAGAACTACCAAGGCCTTTTTACCAATGATCCGAAAATGTAAAGGTAAGTCATTTACATGTTCCAGGTATGCTAGTGCTGACGTCATTGCGGATCAATGCATTGCTGATGTCACCCTCATGCGGGTGTTGTCCGGTGAGGTGATGAATCAAAAGAATGCCAATAGAGGAATGTTTGCATGAATACAAAATCAGGCTTCAAATAAATTGTTAAAAAGGTATAAGCTCAGTCTAGTTTCTGGTGCTATCCCATTCCATTCCGTTCTCGATTCCCCATCATGATTTGGTAGATCATGGATGACTCTTTCATACCGACCGCGACCATGGTGAGATGGATATGGTGTCTGCCGAGAGAGCGGAAGGTTCGATGTTCAGTTACTTGCGTAGGCAGTATGGGGATGGCCCAAGAAGTAGGCGAGTCATTCGGGGTCAGTATACTGTTTGTTTGTTGTCTTGACCAGACAATCTGGTGATCCACATCATGAGCATCAATCAATGCAATTGGGATACAATGACATGTGTCAAACAAGTCAGCGGGCATGATCACCCGATCCTATTAGTCCCCTCTTACGATAAGCATGGGTTGCTGAAGACCAATTCTAACCCAGATCTTCACGGGTTCAGTATACTGTATCATGTACAACGGCGGCCTGGTCTTTCAGTGGTCTAGCATCAGTGAGGTGCCAATGTTACACAGAGGAAAGGTATGACAGTGAGCTAGACCCATGAAACCGCGGACAATTCACACCACCACCGTAGCCAAATCATCCCCCTTAAGTGGGATTACTGAATTGATGCACGAAATAAAGTGATGTCTCTTTTCCTGAAAAGGTCGAGTCATCAATGTAACAAGTGTGCGAGGCGTTGTTGCATTCCGGCCAACTCTACATACGTTGTCAGCAAGTTCGGCGGCGCTGAGGGCTTCTCTGATTGCCTTCGTATGGAGATGAAGAGGTTCGGAGTCAAAGGTCGTTATCGTCGAACCAGGGAACTTCGGTGGGGCCACAGCGCTGTGGGATGAAGCGAATGTAGGTAATTGGGACAGTATATCTCGGTACAGTAGTGATAATTCGAAAGAAATGGAAGACAATTAGTGGATATTTTATATTGCAGTGTTCATAGAAACAATATTCATACTGAAGTTTGTAGAGTTAAATCATCTGTTATGACTCAACCCCTCTAATTTTTTTATCATATTTGAGGACGATTAAGAAACGAATGTTTTCGGTTTTACATCATATTCCAACTTTTGTACACACCATGCCGTTTAACCAAGAACTCGTCATACTTCGAGCATTGAGTGAGACAGACAGACAGTACAACTGTCTATTTATCGATTACTTCAGTAGATTTGTAACCTTCAAGTACAAAAAATAAATAACAAATGCTTAGTCATGCATGTGCGATCCATTCAAATACATTTGCTTCAAACACTTCGGGTAAATACTTTTCCTTTCCAATGATCTCCAGTTCATATTCCAAGCAGGTTTACAGGTGTAGATGAACTTCTACCTCAGGGTAATCCGGATTGACAAGCTCAAAGTTCACTATTACTCGCAGAAAGAGAAGCAAGAAAGTAAGATACGTAAAGACCATGGAAAATACATGATGAACTTGTTGTTGATGACGTCATTGTTCTCATCAATGACACCCTTCTGTCATGTAGGTTCAGAGGATGAAGAACGCCAATGCAGAAATGATGTCAGCAGCTAGTCATGACGTCATCACGGCGTATGGGCCCCAGTATCTTGACACGATGTTTGCAGGGGCTGT